TTTGTATTGTAGAAAATATAAAGTTAAAGCCAATTAGTAAAGCAATATGTCCTCAATGCCAAGAACATTTATTATATAAAGATTTATTAACAAGTAACAAAATAAATTCTCTCATTAAAATGTTGACTGTTGCATGTATTTTATGCTAAATGAAATTTAATATAATTCAAGAATATGAAATCTATAAAAATCATAATGACATATGTTCTAAAAAGGCCACATTTTTACCATTAACATTGCCATTGTCAGCATTAGCAGTGTCACCAACAACTTATTTAAAACCGTATTTATCTAAAACCAACATATCAGATGTTTTTAAACTAACAAAAGACAGTGTAGTTCCAAGAATAGTTGAAATTAGTTTTTTGTTACATCTAAACCGCTAACATCGTCGAATGCGAGAAAAGCTGTTACTGTTTACTGTGGGAGAGTTTAAATGATTGTAAATTTGTGTGATGTTCTGATGGAATAAGCTTTATCTATTTAAATAAAAAGTAACACAAGATAATATTAAAATTGTTTTAGGAGCTAAAGTTAAGTTACCAGTTTTTGAAAACATAGCAAAAAGGGACGTTTTATTCCAGATTGTGTTATAATATTTCTCTAAATAGGTTTTTCCATTTTTTTGTTTAACACATAATATGTAAAATATTAAAAATATCAGAATCGCATTGAAAAATAACCAGTGTATTAATATGTATCTTTCCTTCTATATTTTTTGGAGGCATTTTGTATGTGCCACAGCCTAAAATCGACTTTTACAAAAAAAGGGGGTCCTTTTAAAAATTCCAGGTTTACAGCCAACCCTTAATCCAGCACTGCATGCTTGTTTTGAATGGAACTTTTAGAAAAGATAAAGCTTGTGTCGGTACTGTCTCTGAATCAATAACCCAAATCATACCTTTCGCTATTATTTTCTGTTGTTTAGCTTTTGCTTCGCCTGATACAGCTACCGAGATCGGAGTCTTTTTATATGCACCACAGCCTTATAATGCACCACACAGCCTTATAATGCACCACAGCCTTATAATAATTTAAAAAAGGTTCTCTTATTTATTTACAAATTTCGGGGCACCTAAAATTGCAGAGATTGGGTCTATGGCTCCCCCCTTTAATCCAGGACAGATACAAATAGCATGTTTTCTGCTTCCATAGTTTTTGTTTATAATTTCTAGGCATAATAAAACTCAGAAATTAAATTTTTTTTATTTATAGTGACTTTCACAAAGTTCCCGTTAATCTCAATCAAAATTTATTTTATATATAAATAGTGGCCTCCAAGAGTCTACGCGTCGCCTAAGACAGCAACAAAGATTAGCGTATTTTCCCTCTTAATTTCATCTTTAAAGTTGGGTTATAAATAAGTGAAGAATAGTCCTCGCATTTAATCTTATCTTATTAATAAGATTACTAAAGATATCTTTAGTCGATCTGGTATTTTTAGGCTAGTAATAAACCACTTTTAAGACTTCTAATGCGTTATATCTGTTCTAAAGTACATATAATAAACCTATTCTAATATGCTTTCTGCTTCCATGATTTAGTTTCTAGGCATAAAAATTCAATTTTATACTAATTTAATACATCAACATTTATGCGGATTTTGCAAAATCTTATTTCTATCATTACAACAATCAAACTACCCTATAACTTTCAGATATTTACAATTGTCATTTTCACTGACATTAACAAGGGCTCAAATCACCTCATGTAGTGGGTCAAAGACATTTTTTTGAACGCCACTCAAAAAAGGTTTGAACGTTTCTTTCTCTATGTTATAAATGTTACAAAGATACAAATAAAATTAGACCCCAGTTTACATTATTATAATCTAAATATAATTTGTTAATTAATTATAACTTTTATCAGAGTTAAGGTTCAACAGCCCCTGAGAGCCACATCTAGCAGAAGTGAGATCCTCTCCAGCTTAAATGCCCCTTCTAAGTAATCAGAGAGTGTTGACTTCTTATCAAGACAAGAATACAAAAACTAATTTTTTTTTATACCCTTTACAACTCACATTAAGTGAGTAATCATGTCAAATATCTACAAACTAAGGCAACAGGTATTTGCTCAAGTTTTAAAAATAATAAGTTTTAGCTTATTTCACAGATGTTTTTATAATTTTTTTTTTTTAAAGAGTAAAGCTAATAAATTTTAAAAGAATTAACCAAAAAGATAATTTATAGTACCAAGATAATTTAACCCATTCTTGTAAACCAGCATGACAGCTTTATTTTAAAGCTATTTTGCATTTTTGCAATTAAAAAAATTCTTTTCAATTAAAAAATTTAAATTCAGGACATTTTGAGGACATTTTTTGCTACTTACTTGTTACAGTCTTCTTTGTGATGAACTAAAAATAAATGTTCATTTGCCAAATCAAACAAAATCATAAAAATGCAAATATAAACAAAAAATGATGGCAGCAGAAAAAATGTTTGCTTATTGTGCAAAGAAGAAATGTTAACATAAAGCAATTTAAAGAATCAAGATTTAAAGAATCAAGAAGTCTATATCACTATATCTGCTCTGAATTTAGCTGGGAGATAAATTCAGATCAGATATAATCAAAGAAAAGATGTGGCTATATATCTAGATCTATATAAGTTTGTAAAAATACAAATTAGGTATAAAACTTATGGGCAACCTTGTGGCTGTTGTGATCTCATTGATATAGAATGAAAAGGGAATAACTTAGGTTTGAGTTATATCACCAGGATTTATTTTAAGCTAAATATTGTCATCTTACATTTGCATATTTTAATATGGAAAATATTTTCTTATATTAACAATAAACAAAATTATTCTTACCTTAAAAATTTTTTTTTTCTTTCCTAAACTGTTAGTTAATGATCAATAGAGTAAATTTCAAATCTTGAAAATTACTAAATTAAAACCATTTTGCAACAGTATCCGACAGACTGTTTCTCAACAGTATCCACACTAAAATGAAATAATGTTGGTAAATATAAAGAGATATTCAATAGAAAAAATTTAAAGGTTTTGTTGATTAAAAGAAATTTAACATAAACTTTTGTTTTTTTAGTTCTATATGTCCAATTATTAACTAATCTGTAGCTATAAATTTTTTTTAGCTTGCCTAAAAAAGCCATTTAAAAATGTCTTCTTAATCGGGTCAATGAATCTTCTTTATGTAAAGGAGAGCATGCAATTAAAACATTATCATTAGGTATCTTCACATTTAGAAGAGTATCATGTAGATGTGCATTATAATAAAAAAATTATTTACATAAAAAACTCAACATGCTTCAGTTACTCTGTAACAAACACATAATGTTCAGATAGAATAATGTTTTTAAATATATGTGGCTATGAAAATAACCGTTTTTTTTTGGCAGTTTTTTTTAATTGCTTATTCTATTGCATTGTCTGATATACTTTTTTATTTCGTTTACTCTGACAGATTTTCGTGATTTTGCTGTTTTTTTAGATTTCAATGAAGAATTAGGATTAGTGTATGGTTGAAGTCTAAAATAAAACAAATATTAATTATAAAAACAAAAAATAAATATATTTAAATTTTTGAAAGAAGATTACTAACAGGGCGGCGAGAGCCGTCACACCGCATGGGATAGCAACCCTGATCGGCACCCCTATTTATTAAAACCTCCCTAAGTTATAGATGAGGGACTTTTTTTAAGATACCTTTTTCTCGTTTGGTGCCCCTTGGATATCTAACTGTCCCTTTCACCCCCACCCCCCCCCGCCTCCTCTTGGCAACTCTGGTTACTAATATTCTGTAAAAATAGTTCAGGAAAATTTAACTGAAAAACCAAAAGAAATAAAAAATAAGTATGTAAATTGAAGTCAAGTAATAAATATAACAAATTAAAATACTAGTTAATTAGTATATGTTATAGTATATGGATTTGTTCTAATTATTACTTAACTTCAATATACATACTTATTTTTTATATTATTTATTATTTATATGTTTGTTCTAATAATTAGAACAAAAAGGAAACACATATATAATAAATAATAGCATTGTTTATTGCATAACAGACAACTTTAGATTTTGTAATGACTGTGACTACAAAAGCATTATCTGTATCAAGTAGTTACTGTAACACAAAAAAAAACAGTCACTTCTGTTCGGGAAAATATTTAGAAGGAATAAAAAATTGAGGTTTTCAAGTTTTTGACAAATTGTAAAATTTTTGTGGCCAGGTACACTAACCTTTCATTTTGATCTTTGTTTACATATATATAAGGCTAGTTGCATTAGTTATTAATAATTAATCAGCAGCTATTAATAATTTATATAACAATCATTAGTTTCTTACCAAGTTGTAGCAATCTTGACATTTCCAAAATTTATCTTTGTTTTCAAAAGAAATATTGTTGATTTTTTCGCATTCCTTATGAAACCAATGGTTACAAGTATAACATTGAGCCATTTGCCTACAAATAAGAATGAGCCTTTTAAATAAGTTTTCATTTTTTGTGTATAATCTTTTTTTATCCTAACTAGTATACTAATGCCTGTCTCTCTTATTCCCGACAGCACTCAATATTTCTGATATATATATATATATATATATATATATATATATATATATATATATATATATATATATATATATATATATATATATATTAGGGCCCTGCGAATCAATTCGCAAATCAAGAGTTGCTTAGATTCGAAAAAAAAATATTCAGGTTTTTTGAATCACTATTTATTTTGTGGATGTTATTTTTTTTTCAGATATCAAACTCTTTAAATGCTATCAAAATGTTTTTATGTATCTCACCCAGAGTAAAGTAATTCTAATTGAAAGTAATTGTTATTTGAAGTCAGAATAATATCAGAATAATTTGTAAGGGTTATTTGAAAGCAGTATGCTTACAAATAACCCTTAAAAATTATTCTGTGCAAAAAAAAAAAAATTTTTAAGCAGATTTTTTTTGTGTGAAAAAAGATGGTTAAATTTGGATTTCCTCATATTACTGATTTGATTCATAACTCAATTTGATTCGTAAATCAAGACCTGATTGATTCGAAACTAAAAATGCAGATTCACAGGGCCTTAATACACACACAAACACACACGCACACACACACACACACACACACACACATATATATATAGTTACAGATTTTTACTGGATTTTTAGATGTATGAGCTTTGACACTTACAGGCATTGTGCAAACTACAAACTTTTTCATATTCATGCCTATGTCAAATGAGAATGTTTTGCAAAGGATTGCGTTGATTGGAGCTTGGAAACAAAAAAAATTTAATTTTTGGGGCCTACCCAGTCCTTAACGTGAGAGCAATGAGTTTATAAAATATTTTCTCTACTATTTTAATTTCATCATGCAATAATCTCTAATTTTTCTAAAATTATAACTATATAAAGTTTTAACCGCCCATAATTTGTCGGGGCTGTAAACTTTGCAGGGTCATAAAAAGATGTTATTGCATGAAATTTGAAATTTGTTAATGGATATAAATTTAGATAAAAATAGTAAAGAAAATATTTTACTAACTCATTGTTCCCACATTGGCTGGGTAGGCCCATTAAAGGTTTTTTGTTCCCAAACTCCAATCACCACAATTCTTTGCAAAACATTCTTATTTGACATAAGCGTGAACATACAAAAGTTAAAGTTTGCAATGTCTATAAGTGCCAAAACTTAAACATCTAAAAAACCAGTGTACACCTCTGAGTTAATTAAATTAAACAAAGCCACAGCTACAACCAAAGCAGCCAGGCATAGTAAGCGAACGGGGTTAATATGTGACCGGGGCAAAAATATCCTAAAATAAATTTCATAAGATAAATTTATTGTAAAATTGCATTTACATTTAAAATGTAAGTAACTTTTTAATTGTAATTTTAATTATTAGAATTACATAGTTGAGCTATTCAAGTATTTAAATGTAAAGAAATTAATAAATACTAAAAAATAGTTGATTTTTTTTTGTTAGCCCCGGTTAGTAACCCCTGCAAATTTTGTTTGTTTAGCCGGGGCCGGGTTTGCAAAAACCTCTGTTTTTAGCCGGGGCCAGGGACCCGGTCACTTACTAGCCAGGCATTATATGCACACTCCATAACAAACATAAAACATGCAATACAAAACCTTCATAATATTGTTCTATCTGATGGAATCCAAATCATCCTGCAAGAACAGTACAGTTTTAATTTAAATTCCTTTGGAGAGCATCTACGGCTTGCACTATTTGTAAGTGGAAAAGGAGTTATTAAATTATTTATTAAACAGGAAAGGGCATGATTTCTTAACTTTGTTTGATCAAACCAAATATCTTCTATAGGATACCTGTTTTGTGATAAAATAAATTCAATAAAGGCTATTGAAAACAAACCACAATCAATACCACCATCTTGTTGCTGTACTGAAAGCACTTTTACTGTAATCTCATCTTTTTTGTACTTTAAAAGGGCACATATTTGTTTTTGTGTTTCAAGGCTTAAACACCCATGAAAGTTACTATCAAGCACATTTATTTCACCATATGAACAACCATATGTACTGATGGCAAGCCAATGGTAATCCCCATTATATATAATTTGTACAAATGGTAAAGAACCAATAACATCAAACTTTAATAATTGTCCCAATATGGGATCTTGAAGTCCATTTGCATAAGGGTTAGCTTTCTTTAACATATCTTGAAAACATTTAATAACTGTATCAGATAACATTCGATTTTTCGAAATGTCTTCAAAATCTTCTTGTGAAAGTAAAGAATAATTTCTTTCAAATAAAACTGATTTTCCTAAATAATTATTTGTAAAATAATTTGTTTGAAAAGTTTCTTCACCAGTTATTTGATCCTCAGTAATAATTGATTCCTGCACTGGTGCTTCATAAAAATTACTTTCAATTTTTATTATAGAGGCTACCATCAACTTTTCTTTTTTTTCACCCACACGATTGGAATACAATTTTTTTTTAACAACAGGTAAATCAACTATATTTTTTTGTTTTTTGTGTACATAATCATGCATACCATAACCTGAGCTTAATGGTAGACCTTTCTCTTTTTTTCTTGCTTGATAAAGCTTTTTAAGTACATTTGAAAGTGTTTCATGTAGATCAGATAGTTCTTCTGATGATTCATCAAAATCAAATGTTAAATTTTTTATGGTTGCTAGCATTTCACGGACTTCAGAGGCTGTAGAACTTCTTTTTCTTGTACTATCTTTGTATGGATTTATCGTTGTTGTACTGCAAATAGTGTCATTAATTAAGTTGAAACTATTATGATTCACATGGTTACACTTGATTATATTTGATTTACTTAATACAAAATCATTAGTGAATGTGTCAATATTTAAAAATGGAGAACTTCTATATAAAGACGATATAGACTCCCATCCCCATGTTAGTGGGTACTTTCTAAAAATTATAAAAAAGTGTTTGCATAGATAGGAAGATTTAAACCAATCATTACATGAACATTTTGGCATGTTCTTCTCATCGCCAAAGTTAACAAGGTAATTTTTGTTTGCAATAGAAAAGCTATTGACTACAAATACTCCAGGATCTTTCATTTGCACTTTATTTAGATCAGTGTTGTTAGCCAAATTTTGCTTCGCTAAACAATGTTTAATAAAATGGTGTAGCCTATTTATCAAGTATTCAGGTACATTAGAATTGTATTGTTTAAATCGACAATCCATTTTGTAATTAGATTCTGAATATCTTAAAAAATAAGAAAAAAATAAATTAACTAATATATATATATATATATATATATATATATATATATAATATATATATATATATATATATATATATATATATATATATATATATATATATATATATATATATATATATATACATATAAATATATTTATATATAAAAACACACAAAAAAAAAAAAAAATTAATATAAACTCCTTCAAATCAGGCTACAATAAAACTTTTTAATATACTTCTCAAATTTATCTGCAAAAAACTCTTCTATTAAAAGAGTAAGCATTCCAGTAATTGATGAATTTTTATGTCTTTGAAGATACGAATATTTAAAAGATTCGTGTTGCCTTTCAATTCCATTGTTGGTATTAAGGTTTACTAAAAATCTATCCTGACGATACCCCCATATCCATTTCTAGATAAAAATAATAACACTTGTTTTTGCAGATTTACATTGACATGAGTATAAATTAAACCATAAATTAATGCTTTAAAATTTGCAATACTTGTGTTATGTACAGCAAAAAATGTTAAATAATGTTAAATTTGGGATAATAATTATAATGTTAAATATATACTCACTTCTTTAATTTGTAACCAATAATTAGTAATATATTTCTTAAATTTATGAAATTTGTTGTCCAACCAAAAATTAGAACATTTTAGCTTAACTATTGCTTTATCTGCCATCTTTTCATTTTGTGCCCATGCAATATTTCGTAGCATTGAAATTATTGAGTCTTTAAATTCTGAGCAGTTGTTTGTTTTTTTGACAATCCAGCGATGCCATGCCTGCTCTCTATGGAAATCACATATAAGAACACGGCAACCTAAAAATAATTCTCTATATTTTAAAATAAGATAAAACGAATACAGATGAGTTACACAACGAAAAAAAAAAGAGTTTCAAGTGAACTAAAAAATGACAACAGGAAACGGTTCAAAATATTCTATTAAATGGTTTACATTTTTTATTTTATTTATTACATTATTTACTTTCAAATGTATATTTAAACTGTCATACTATTTATTAACAAATGAAAACTATTAAAAACTTTATTTATACCTGGAAAAACAGCTTCTAATGAATCCATTTCTTCAGTACAATAATCAGTCATGCAAAAGGAAGGTTGAAAGGATGGGTTCCAATCTTTTATTATGTGAAGCGCTTCTGTGATGGCTTGTTTTGTTTCACATTCAATAACAAAACTGGCTACTATTTGGTAGTCAAAATTAGTTTTTACAGTTAAAAAGAAGAGAGGAAGAGAATATCTGGTAGTCCTGTATGTGGCATCAAGTAGCAGTATCTCAGTTCCATAGCGCATGAGAAGGTGTTGTTGCCACTGTGACTGATAAACAAATAAAAATGAACATTTATCACCACCATCTTCGCCACTACAGTTTGGTCTAAGAAACACTTTGACAGACGGACCACATTTTTTCCATTCTTCACATTTTATCAAAAGACATTCTTGGTCAATCATGGAATGCCTTTATAAATAGAAACAACAACATTAATAAAATGAAAGTTTTAAAGATTACTTTAAACATGAATCAAGTTAACGTCTAAATTAGTAAAACAAATCATTTCATATGTATAATTTATTCTAAGAAATAATCAACATTTGTGATTTACCGTAACTTTTTTTTAATTTTTACTATATGTGATCTTATGGTTGCAGTGTTGGGATAGAATCTTCTGCTATTCGAAGGAGGAAGATTTTCATTTCCAAAAGTATCTTTTACTGTCAAACGAAGAAGGTGCTTCATTTCCCTTATATTGTATATTCCTTCTATAACATATTCTTCAATCTTTTTTGAAATATGAGGATCGATTATTTGAGAAATTAGTTCTACCTAATTTAAAAAAATATTTAATATGGTAAATTAATTAATAAACTACAGTACTGTTTTAAACCTTTTTGCAAGTACAAAGTATATACAAAAATTTTATTTTTACCTTTCCAATAGGGTGTTTATCATGACATGATAAATCATCAATAGCTACAACAACTTTCCGAATATAAGGTACTTCATTTAAACATAACAATTTTAATTTTTCTTTCAATAGTTTTGATGCTTTTTTTTTGTGCCAAGCTGAATGCTTAGGTATCTAAATTAAAACAATAATACAAAAACAATAAGGACTAAACTGGGTTTATAGAGGGACTTAGTCAAGAAAGTTGAGTGAGACACCTAAGACTTAATCCTGTTTCAATAAAGGCATATTTTTAAAAAGATACATCTTTCCACTAACCTTAGGGGACCCTTAAACCCAATTCAGGGCTGCTTTATGTCACACCACCATACATTACAAAATTAAAAAAGGCATGTTACCTATAATTTAGTTACTCAAACCTTGAAATCAGGAAATTGTAATATTTCTCTCATAACTATCTTTGCAGGACACATAAACTTTTTTGTATCTTGCAGAATCACATAATTTTTCTGAAAGCTGTGATCATCCATCTAAAAGAAACAAATGATAAAAGAAGACTTTTATTTAATGGGCACCACTTTTGGAATGTTGTTTATTTGTTTAAAATAGTGATGTTTTTTTTTTTGTTTTTTTTAAACTCTATGGTATTAGAGAAACAAGAAAAAAAAATTTAATTGAGTATGAAAGATAAAAGTGATAACATTACCTTAGCATTTTTTTTATAACTATTTTTCGCTGAAATATTCCTATCAAAACCATGATGACAATCTAAAATTTTGTGACCAACAACCATATGAGGTATGCCTGAATACTGAATGGCATAATCTTCCCATAGAACATTATGATTTTTTGCAATCATTTCTATAAAAAAATATATAGTTTTTGGAATGTGACTAAACTTATTAAAAAATTATATAAAAGCAACACAAACAAATTTATTATAAAAAAGTGTATTATATATATATATATATATATATATATATATATATATATATATATATATATATATATATAATATATATATATATATATATATATATATATATTAGGGTGGTGCTTAAAACAACTTTTTTGAGAAAAACCTGCTGGTACCCCCTAAATGTGTTTTATCAAATACAAAAACACTAGGTTTAAAATTTTTTTGAACAAAAAATATTTTTAGGGGTAGCTCAAGGCCCTCAAAAATTTGACGGGTCCCTAATATTTTGAAAAAAAAACTTTTTCTAAAGTATGTCAACCTGGTACTCAAAATAAGCAAAATTATATAAAAAATTTAAAAATGAAAATAATTTTTTATAAAAATAATTTTTTCAGGTATAAATGCATAAAAACTATTGTTTTTAAGCTGAAAATAAAAAAAGTCAATATTTTCAGGTTTTTTGAGAATAATTTTTTTTAGGCATGTTTTTTATAAAAAATGATTATTATTTTTAAAGTTTTTATATAATATCGCTTCTTTTGAGTACCAGGTTGACATACTTTAGAAAAAGTTTTTTTTTCAAAATATTAGGGACCCGTCAAATTTTTGAGGGCCTTGAGCTACCCCTAAAAATAATTTTTGTTCAAAAAAATTTTAAACCTAGTGTTTTTGTATTAGATAAAACACATTTAGGGGGTACAGCAGGTTTTTCTCAAAAAAGTTGTTTTAAGGACCACCCTAATATATATATATATATATATATATATATATATATATATATATATATATATATATATATATTAATTATAAGATATTATTAAAACCTTATTATTATATATAAGTATATTATTACTTATATATATTAACAACATTATAATTATATATAAGTATATTATTACAACCTTAAAAAAACAAAACATATATATATACATATATATATATATATATATATATATATATATATATATATATATATATATATATATATATATATATATATATATATATATATATATATATATATATAATAAAACATTTTATTCTGTATTATAGATATATAATGCTAACTTTGGCATATATTTATTCAGCGCAATTTAGTTCATAAAAACCATTAAAAATTTTATGAACTCTAAGTATTTCTAGAAACATTAAATAAATTAAAAACAAATGACGAAATGAGAATGATATTCATTTTTAATATTTTTAGTTATGATAAAGTTAATCTTGCATTTAAAGAAACTATTTTCATATTTAAGCCAAGTAATTTTATGTTAATCAAAAAAACATGTCACGAAATCATTGCTTTTACATTGCAAATATTTGTGTAATGCAAAATGATTTTTTTTCAAAACTAGGTCACTACAAACTATAGTTTACCTGTTATTCCAAAGTCCTTGGTTACACTATAGACAACAAATCTTGTTGTAGTTGCTAACTCGTATTTTTTCACACAGTTTAATGCTTCTTCATGCGAATTACAATGATAAATTAATTTTTTTTTTCCTTCTATAAAAATTAAAATCAAATTGATCAGTATACTTTCAGTGAATATGAAAATAGACTATAAAAACTATTTTAAATATTTCTTACAACAAAAAAAAAAGGCACACTAAATGATATCACAAACCTTTGTATAAAGTTTTGTGATAACATTAGAAAAAAGTTTAATAAATGCGTTCAAGAACTTTAAATAAAGAACTTTAAATAAAAAAATAAGTAAAGAACTTTTTAGGCATAAAAAAAAGCCTATATTAAAGTACTAGACCTAGCACTTAATGCACTGTCAATTTAACTGTTAACTGCTACAAAAACTTAGTTTATCTTACAAAAAACTAACTAATTTTAAACTTTAGATAATAATTTTAAATCACAAACAATTGCAAAAAAAAAATTCTATATGACGACAATTTTTTTGTTTTGATTGTTCTTGTGTTGTCCATTTAAATAACATATATATGCTACTGACACCATTTTTTCTTTTTTTTTCCTATAGAAGAAATAAGAAAAAAACTGGCAGTTTTTGTACGGTAACAGTGACTAAAAACATACCATAAACAATATCACGTGTAGGTAAACAATTATTTTCAATGATACTCAAACTTTGTTCATAGACTTCTAAATTAAAAAATATGTCAATAACTATATAATTATTTATTGCATTTATTTTGTTTATAACATTGTTATAAACAAAAAAAAATGTAATAGGTTTTGCATTTGTTAAACTGAAAATGTTTATATATTAAGTTACCTTTTATATTTCCGCTTTCTTCATCAGAGCTTATTTCATCAGAACTGCTGAAATTCAAATTTTCGCCATACATATATAAATCCATAATCTTTGTTTTTGTTTGCTTTAATAATAATCCTTAGTATTTAATATTACGGTTGTGTTTAGATCATATCCCATTCGGAACGATTAATTTTTACTTGCGTATTTTGCCGAACAACATTTAAAAAAATTTATCGAGCAATATTAAATAACAACACAACACACGTGCCATATATATTGTTTGTTACTTAAAATTGCTTTATTACGTGGTCTTTATTTTGTTAACTTCATTGCTTTTACAGTGGGTTACTCTATTAATTCATGGATGTAATAGTTCTTAAAGGTTAGTGTTTCTTTCATATACATAATTCTTAATAATATAATAACAATAGTTATATATATATTATATATATATTATATATATATTATATATATATTATATATATATTATATATATATTATATATATATTATATATATATATATAATATATATATATATATATATATATATATATATATATATATATATATATATATATATAATAACAATAGTTAATTATATTCTTAATAATATAATAACAATAGTTATATTATATCATTTAAATGTTCTGAAACCGTTGTTGTGTTGTGTCTGGTGTTTTCACCAATATATTCAGCATTACAACTGGAGCAAACAAATTTATAGACAACAAAGGATTTTAAATTTTGGGGTTAGGGGTCTTTGATGAAATATACTACTTATTTTAAAAGTTGTAAAAACTAGTCTTGCTTTTATATTATCTTTACAATATTTGAAATGTATTTAATTAATTGATGTTAAAATGTATTTGAAAATTTTCCAATATAAGGGAGTTTAAAGTAATGTATATCAGATGGTTTTGGAGATGACATGCTTTCTTTAGGAGAGATAAGATTGTTTAGTCAATTTTTGAAGGTTTAGTCAATTAAGTTGAAGGCAAAAGAGTTTTTTTGGAGAGTTTATTTAATTTTTACAATTTCTAGATGAAAACTTGCTATTTTTTGAAGGCCCTATTGATCAGAGTTTTAATAAATCCTAGTTCATAATTATTATTAGTGAAGCTTTTAAAATTAGTTTGTAAAACTGTGTATTTTTTTTTGTAAAATTTTGAAGTATTAAATTTATAATTTACAGAGTTAATAATTATATCAATAAAGTTCAATTTGCGATCAACCTCTTTCTTTTTAGTAAGTTTGGGATAACTTAATAAACTTAAGAACAGTCACAGTAAAGGGATGAGACTTCATTGACGCATAAATTCATGAGAATGAATTTTAGTAGATGGCACAAGAGACACTAGCCCCATCATAGTATTTGTAGAAAAGAGAAAGAGAAGCAACATTAAGATGTGACAATGTTTGGAGATTGGCTGCAAGAACAGGTCCAACTATGTTTACGATTATGCACCTTATCAAAAAGAGAAAGAGCATCATTGGAAGATCCACCCCAGATATGCAACTATTCCATAAAAGTATGACAGAATCAATAGTAAGAATGTGGCAAGCCTGATAAGGAGATGCATGCTATTTTATTTTGAAATGGATTAGATATATGGTTTCTGAGAATGATCAGAGGTAAGAGTTAATTCTAGGAGCCAAAGTGTAGATGATACATCAAGTATGTTTCGTTCATAAAAATAGAAAGATCTTGATTATTGTAATAACGATTAGCTAAAAACTATTAAGTCTTATCTGAGTTAAAGTTCATTAGCCATTCAAAGCCTATATATATATATATATATATATATATATATATATATATATATATATATATATATATATATATATATATATATATATATATATATATATATATATATATATATATATATATATATATATATATATATATATATATATATATATATATATATATATCACCTATATATATATATATATATATATATATATATATATATTATATATATATATATATATATATATACATATATATATATATATATATATATATATATATATATATATATATATATATATATATATATATATATGTATATATATATATATATATCACCGTTCTCCTAAATGAGCAATTAGTGTCAACTCAAATTCCAAAGAAACCACAATATGCCTGTGAAAGCTTATGACTCCTGTATTCCAAAAATATAAAAAATCAAATCATCCTATTATGTCAGAGAAAGAAAATTACTTTTGAAAATTTTTATTTTGCACATATTCATGAAATGACATTCTCGAAATTTTACATTTTTACAGAATATCTTAACATTTAAAAAGCTCTTTGAAAAAAACCTACTTAACATAATAAAGAAACAAAAAATATGAAAATGTTTTAACTTATTAGAAATTTTTTTCTAATAAGTTAACTCTAGAATAATTTCATTAATAGTTTGGTAGTAATCCAAACAATCTTAACAAAAAAAATACTTTACAAATTCCTAACTGTTAACAGACTTTTGCTGTTAAAATCAGCTAGGCACATTTATAGCCTTTTTCCATAATCTGGATGGCTGATAGGTCGTTTGTATCGTTGCCAATGGTTCTGAAAACAATGATGAATAGATTCTGTTGCTTGCTCACTGTAGATTCCAAGAGGAGACCTTGTTTTTTGGATAAAGTCCTTAACATGGAAAAACACTACATGTACTTTTGGAGTGATGCTTCCTCTTGGCAACGCCAAATATGAATCTCTGAATGAATCAATTTTTTCTGCATAAGTGCAGTCCAACTTGCAGAAACAATGGGACCAAACTTTCGAAAGCTGTCAATGATGCTGAAAACTTGAAAGGCACTGTCATTTTCAGCCAGTGTTTGGAGAAGGTCGAAATTTTTGAGGAGCTTGTGGCAATCATTCCTAGCAAATTGACCACCATGAAAATGTTGGGGCTGAATGTGCCAAGCTTGGAGCCATTCAGCTGATTCATTCATTCTTGCTTCAAAGATCTAAAAGTCCTTAGAGTACCCCCGTTTGCAAGGTTAGAGCTTTCCACAGTGCACCATGTGCATGGATGAGCTGAAGCATGTGATTGCAATCCACAAATTATATTTGCCAACTTCATATCACACGAGACAACAAAGTTGATTTCACTGATTAAAATGAGAGAGAGAATGAGCTTTACATTGGAGTAATTCTCTTGAACTCCTTCAGCAACTGCAACCAGAAGTTGCTGTTTTACTCCAGAATCCTTGGACGTTGAAGATGTCAGAAATCTTTTGTTTGGCGGAGACACAACTTCACTATCTGCTTCATTTGTTTAACTCCAAGGTAGACTTTAAGAAAACCTCCACCACCATCTATTCCAAGTTTAATGATGTGTTTTGAAAGTACTTGTCCTTGAAAGTAGAACTTCAGTGAGTGCTTGGAGATTTTTGCAATGGACAACAACACTTTGAGACTTCTTTTGATTTGAACTAATGAATGTTGTTGGGGTTTGTGTAAAGTGTTCTTCTAGACTTTTTCTGAGATCCTGGAATTTGTGCAATATATTTGGTTCGAGAACTTTGGCAGACGAAACATGCCTAATGGTGGAAGTCAGTTTTTTTATTCCACTGTTTGACAAACCTGTATTTAGTTAAACTTGAGCAAGATCCTTTGCGGTGACTACAGCTGGATCTTTGAACAACTGCTTAGAGCAAGAAGGACCTGTTAAAGAGTAAAATATAATATTTCAGTTACTTAAATGTGATGGTCGACCTTAATGGAGAATTATATACAAACCTTGTGTGATTGGGAGCAGTCCTCCTCCTTTTGGCTGCACAAGTCTAATGGTTCCACAAGGAGAAAAATCTTTGTTGACAATTTTTGAGCTGGCAATTTGTTCTGCCACAATTCCATCAGATTTTGCAAGCTCCTTTAAGTTTTCATGGAACTGTGATGAAGAGCAATGATGGGGTAAACCTGGACCAATAAGAGAGAGACATGTAGAACATCTTCTGTCTGATGTTTTCTCTCCAGTTTTTGTTCTTTCAAGAGGGTGTTTCTTTGTCAGTTTAAGTTGTCCTATGTCACGAATCAAGCATTCACAAGCTTGACCACGTGTGTGAACTTTTATATCAATGGTTTCAAATTGAAACAGCTTGGGCAAAACAACCTTCTGCCTTTGATCACACTTTCCAAGGGCCAGTCTACACGGATCACAAAGACCTTAAGGAATTCTTGGATCATCAAAGTTGAACTGCTTTTTGTAGTTGTTTTGAATTTTGCTGACCAAAAATGGTGTCAATTTACAATTTCCTTTTCTAAGACACATGATACAAACATCTTTTCTGTTCTCATCATGACTTCTTGCATGATTAGGCATTTTCAATTTATTTCAGGAGAAAAGGTTAAAAAATCGACCTTCAAAAGCTTTGATTTGTAGTAAACTGCCTTTTCCCGGAAGTTTTTGGTAAATTTTTAAAAATAATTTAAAGTTACCAATATTATTCAAAAAGTGCAAATTAAAAAAAACTATTATTGAAATTATTCTAGAGTTAACTTATTAGAAAAAACTTTCAGAAAAGCAATATTTTACCCAAGTGATCTTTTACCTATTTGGATTTCTACCAATTTTATAACATCAAATCTTTCACATTTTTATATTTTTTGTTCCTTTATTATGTTAGGTAGGTTTTTTTATTTTCAAAGAGCTTTTTGAATGTTAAGATATGCTGTAAAAATGTAAAATTTCGAGAATGCTGTCATTTCATGAATATGTGCAAAATAAAAATTTTCAAAAGTGATTTTCTTTCTCGGACGTAATAGGATGATTTGATTTTTTTATATTTTTGGAATCCAGGAGTCATAAGCTTTTACAGGCATATTGTGGTTTCTTTGGAATTTGAGTTGACACTTATTGCTCATTTAGGAGAACGGTGATATATATATATATATATATATATATATATATATATATATATATATATATATATATATATATATATAAATATATATATATATATATATATATATATATATATATATATATATATATATATATATATAAATATATATATATATATATATATATATATAAATATATATATATATATATATAAATATATATATATATATATATATATATATA